TTAGTCAAATTCAAGAACATTTGCAAATTATTTTGGGTTATAAATTCATAAAAATGTTTCTTTTTATATCTTGGATTTTAAAATGTAATACAAGATTTGAAAAAAGTTTTTCTACCTTACTGAAAAAAAAGTTTACTGAAAAGTCAAATTCATTGTTTATGATAGTTTGAAGTTTATTTTAAATTGGATATTCACACGTAAATTAAAGATTTCTCATCGAATGATTTTATTATTTCGTTGTAATTCAAAAACGAATAACTATAGATACTTGACATTTTCCAAAATGTTTATTTTATTTTTCTATATAATTCCATGATACGATTTTCATTTTAAGTTACTTACAGATATTTTAAATTTTATGTTTAAATATCAATACAATTTATTTAATTTGGTCAAAAAGCTTAAAAACTTAAAACAAGGTATTTCATAAGTAGTTTTACTGTACATTTATTACATAGAGTTAAAAGATGATACATCAAAACATACAAGTGTCATCTTAATGTCTGGCTTTAATTATACAATTTACTATAGTATGAACATGGAATAAATCTTATAATACATACAATTTATTAGTAAAATACAATATTAAATCATCTTATTTATTATTAGTAGGTACTGTAAATGAAACAAATTAGTAAATTTAAATTAACCAAGTATCTTAACTATCGAAAAAGTATTTAATAAATTAATTTATTTTTTTGTACCTACTTATTATACAAATGTATATAAAATAAACTTTAAGATTCAGATGCTAAAATTATTTCTTTTTATGAAGTTTAAATTATTTTAAGCCTAATATGTCTATATCTGTCAAATGGTCTCTCAATATAATAACTGAAAAAAAAATATTATTTGAATTCGATATTTCACGTATTATTTTTCAGAACATTAAAATGTTATGTTAAATCCTACAAAGTAGATACTTTAACAAATATTGTACTTACATCTTGATTATAATTTATTCAAATAATATGTCATACTGCTATGTGTCTTAATAATAATAATAATAATAATAATGATAATAATAATAACATAATGTTATAATAATTTGTATGGATTTGCAATTCTATTTATGTCAGATATGAATAATTATAATACAACTTTGAAATTTATTCTTGGCCATTCCGATGTTGAGTTTATAAACGAATATTTAAACTAAATGAATTTGAACAATATACTTTAACTGATCTAAGAAAGTTAACCACGGCTGATTATATGAAAGCCGTTTCACCATAAAGTTTTTGGCGCAATTTTAATATTAGAAGATTAATTTAAAAGGAGGAAAATATAATATATTGAAAACCAGACTGCATAAGATGTATTGATCATTTATGTAACTTTCTTTAACTTATAATATAAAATGTAAGTAGGTATATCTACTACTTGGTTAAGTTAAGTGCATTGTTGGTATTTTCTGACTAGTATTTTACACACACAATACTGCCAAAATGAATATTAGAATATGATATAAAGAATACTAAATTCATGAAAAATATACGTTGATAAATGTAATAATAACGAACTATTAGAGTCACAAAAACATTATACAACTTTTAAAGATACAACTTTATTATTGTTGTTGTATTACTATCTAGATAATTAAATAAGTTTATGTGAATTTTAAAACTTTCTGCATTTTATTTGTTATAATATAAGGTATATCTACTAATAAAAATATATATATTTTTTAATAACAATGATAATCAACATATCAAATGTTAGTGTATACATAAATATTAAATGTCTTTGAAAATTATCGTAAGTCATATTTTCTTTTTTAGCTTATTTCATTTTTTCCCCCAAAAAAGTGATTTATTTACCAGCGAATTAATTCCACACAGTATCATTTTTTGAATGCAACTATAGGATGATTCATAATTGCCAACATGTTTTAAACGACAAGTTTGACAACATAATATTAATTACAGTACCCTGCTAATACCATGCTCTGCTCCCGTGTGTTTTAAATGGGTTATGGATTTTAAAAATATAATGTTTAGATACAAATATGCTGAATAACCATATACCAACCCACCTACGGGTTAAGGGTAGAACATTTTAAGAGTTCATTTTTAATAATACTACGAATCAAAAACTTCGTACAAGATATAATCTACACGCGTTGGTCATTGACAATTATTAAGGTCTGCACATTATAATATGCACATATTTAGTGTATTTACGAATGAGTAAAATACTGAGATTTACGTGGAAATATATGATAATCATTTTCTCGCACTTTTGGATTGTTCTAAAACTTATTTACGAGTAATATCGTCGTCGAGGATATATATAACAGTTTTATTATGATATCTACGTTATATTTCCAGTGCTTTGTGGGTCTGTGACTAATGAAAAACATAATATTATTCCTATGCAAAATAAAATATAAATAATATTTTTTGTGAAAACACCGTCGAATATAACATGTAGCCGTGTGGGTACGTTAGTTTTTATTAATCAAAATATGGCATATGCTATAGTTATTTGAAATTATTGCATTTTTTCATAAAGTAGATATTTCATAGTAAAATAGCTTTAATTGGAATAGTTTTATAATGATACAATTTTTTATGTTACTTCCAAAGAAATAACAATAGGTACCTAGGTACATATATTTTATTCATGAAATATAATCAGAATTTTCCATAATTCTTTTGGGAAACCACATATCGATTTCGATCCTATAATTTATTTTTATTTTTGAAATCACAATTTTTCATTGGATTATAAAATGTTCAGTTAAACAATATCGTAAATCTATTATAATAACGCATCAACATATGTAAAGCCTACGCCCAACATGGACGTATAATTTAAAAGAATTCATGTTAACATTCGGTATTCCTAATAATATATTAGGACTTCATTAAAAGTGGATAACCTAGATTAGTATATTATAGTTTATAGGTAATAAGTGTTATACATAAAATCTTAAATAGGAATATTAAAAAAAAACTTCTAAACTCCGTTAAAATCTAATTAATATACTCAATACACGACTTCGTATCAGTGAAACATCATACGATGACTTCATTTGGTATATTCATATCATTATTTTGGTGGCTCCTCATAATGATAATTTGTCCGTAAATAGTTTTTAATAATACAATAAATTACGATTAGGCACTAAAAACTGTTCATACTATCAAACATTTTGCCTTACAAAAACGTGTACGGTTGAATTTATTTGAACTTAATTGGTTTGATATGTAATGTAGTCACATGGATAGTGTAATATTATTATCAGATACTATTTAACATATTAAACAGAAGATATTTATATGCCAATTTGTTGAGGAGATGCTGTTTGGTGATAAGTTTTATGTATGATTGAGTGTTTGTCTGTTGGTTTCAATATATTTTTCACATTTTATGAAGAAGAAAAACTTATAAGTAACACATTTTCCATTCAAAATTAAAATTAAACGGGTTTTAACTATACGAATCTTGCCAATGAATAATTTTACTTACTTTTTAATCTCAAGAAACAGATTTTTAATTTTTAAAACGTGACAAAATTAAAAGTTTGTGGATTTATTTCTCAAAAAAAAAAAAAAAAAATGTATAATATCTTAGTTGATAAAAATAATTACTAAGAGCAAATCTTAAAAGTCACTCATCTTTTTTAATTACTACACTTAATATTCACGAATAACTAATATGCATTTTATATAAATACTGTTTATTAAAAACTTCACTTTTAAATAATTTTCATACCATATTTATTATGAAACCTTACATTTATAATTGTGAATACCTACTTGTACGTGTTATCATTTCAAACTACAGTTTAATTTATAGATACTTCAAAATAATGTGTAGTTTTATTTTATTTATATTTGTATTGAATGTCTGCTGAAACAAATATTCAGAATTAGTGTAAAAGTATTAAAATTTACAATTGAGGTAATAAGTAGAAAACTAATTTCAGCTATTATAACTTCATATTATGCATATCAGTGTGCACGACAGTTAATATTTATTATCAGACATTAAGGGCTTATACTAAACACACACCTAGTGGCTAAATGATTGCATTCATTATGTTATATTAAATTTGTATATATATATATAAACATATGAATATATTATGATTATATTATAATCTTTTGGAATAGTGTTCTTAGAAAACAGTGTTTCAGTGATTTCATCTGAAATATCTGTATTATCTGTGTTTACATAAAATAAGTTTAGTCATTTAGTGTATATTTAATTAGTACCTATCTATCAAAATTATCAATTTACTCTACGGGTCCTTGAAAAAATGTATTATTTCTTTAAGACAGCCTATATTATTGTTTTTACTATCAGAAGTATAATATTTGTATTTCACATTTATCATGCGTTGAATATTCTGCCGCGATAAGCGAAAACAGGATAACTCCAGTTAACATGATTATTGAGAAACACCAAATAACGTTTTCAACAGTAAATCAAGCCTAGAAAGAGTGTTTATTCAAACAATTGGTCAAACCTTGTGCAGATATATCTAATTTTACATCTAGTATTGGTTGAACACTTTTTATTTTAACTTTATTGAATTTTTTAAGGAGAAAATGGACTTATCGTAAAATCAATATCGGACTAACTAAGCGAAAAGTTGATAACTCCATAATAATGGACTTACCGGGTTATTGCTTAGACTTTTTTGGATATACCATATTTAAGTCTATGATCATACAACATTGTATGTAAAAAAATGTGTAACTCCAATTTTATCAAACAAATAATTTTAATTTTTTTCATTATAAAAAAATTATTACAAAATAATTAGACTTTTATTTTAGTATATTAAATATTTAAAAAACAAAATAAAACAATACCTTTTAGGTGGTCATCACCAAAAACAATTAAAATAAATGAAATCTTAAACAACAAAATAAATATTTTTTTAGTATAAATTTTACTGTTAAAAATAAAATGAAACAAAATTTAAATTTATGTTAACAATATTGGTTCCTATCACAATATTATATATCACATTACTTTTGCAGTTTCTAATTTTCAGGTTCTTCATATAAATCATTAACTGTATCTGATGTAGGAATATCAAACCAAAATTGTTGTCTACTCTTTGGCATAAGCGGGACTAGTGTTTTTATAATACTTTGTTTTTTTTCCGGATGAATACCCCTTAATTCATTTTTTTGTTGAGGTTTGTCAATATCTTTTTTAATGAATGATAGTTTTAAGAAGTCAAGCATTTGGTACGGAGTATACTCATCATATGTACATTTGTATAATAAGTTATTATAATGAATAGTAATAGTTATAAAATACTCAAAGCGAGACAGTGTTGTATTATATTATTACATTATAATTTATATAATTTAATATTTTTAAACTAAGCGTTTGATCGTATTATCATGATAATAAATGATAAGGATAAATAGGTACAGTGATGTCGAGACCATAATTATATTCTTAACAATATCAGTTTAGTAAATTACAAAATAATATAGCAAATAATCATTGTTTTTAATTTATAAAATGTGACTAAATGTTGTGTCATGTACATACCCTTTTTTTGTAACGTATGAACATAAGCCAAAACACGGTAACTCCATTCTTTTTCATGTGATATACCGAGTTTTTGCTTAGTATTTGGATTTATCGTGTTTTCGTTTAGAAAACATCAAATATACTGGACTTACCGCATATTTGCTTATTTTAAATTTCATTTTAAGATGGGTTTTAATAGGAAATACGCTATTTTTACATCAAAAATCGGCGTAAAACCACTAATTTTACCTATAGTAACAAAAATCTCATTTTTACGAAAAATGGAGTTATCCTGTTTTCGCTTAGCACGGCAGTATTGATCAAATAGTTTTTTCTTTAATGTAATAAATATTTAAATTGAAATCAGTGAAGAAAATGCCAACCACGTACGTCGTACGTAATAATTGTGGTTATCTCCACGTAATATTAATAGACAAAAAGATTAGTATAAATGTTTAATATATTTTAATAATTTTAACCACAATTTTTTTCTGATTATGAAATTCAAAAATATTTTTAATATCAACTAATAGGAAAAAAAACTGGATATTAGCATGAATCTGGTATTAATAATATTTTAAACTACTTCTAGGTAACAACTAACAGTTAATAATATGATACATTAATACAAGTTATTATTTTCTATCAAAAAATGTTCTTAAAAATTTAGCTTAGTCATTATTATAATATATGTTTTACTTAGTACAGCAAAAAATATTATATACTAGGTATATAAATAAAAAATCGATTGATTTGATATCGGATAACAAAAAATAAATTGGGTTAGTTGGACTTAAATCTTGTTGTTCTTGCAAAAATCTATAAGTGCAGTAATATATTTGTCAAAGTTGTTCTTTTCATGTTAATAACTAGTTCATTAACTACCAATACTTTTTAGTATTACAGCTAGACAGTTATAATTTATAAGAATAAATTATAAATACTTAAACTTATAAGAATAATAGTTAAGCGTTACATTATAATCGTACATTTATAGAAAAATATAGGTAAACAAATTAACTCGCGCTACAGCTATATAATATTGTCATATATAACTAAACAGAGAGAGTTGGATACACATTATAGATATTAAAATAATATTTATGATGTTGAGCAAGATTTGGGGAGACAGGGACCTCAATCCCCAATAGCGACCAAAATCCCTAAATTTCACGGTCACTATTATTTTTATCTAAAATAGGCATGTTGTATTAATGAATAATAATTATATGTTCATAAAACAGTTATATTTGTCTAAACATCTAGAGTGTTTATTTTTTTTTTCTGTAGAACAGTCACCTTATTTTCAAGAGAACCTAATATAGTATCATAAATACACTAAGAATATTTTAATCCGAGAACGAATCACTTATTCCTAAATATCGGGAGTATAATATATTGATTTAACAAAAAAAAAGAATGAAATGAATCCCTATTTCCCTTGGCCACGACATAACTTGGGAACGCCTTTACCAATTTGCTGATTCTTTTCTGTTGCGTTCGTAATTGTCAGGGCAAGGTTTGTATGAAAGAAAATTTTAGGAAAATCATCGGAAAAGTAGGAAATCTGGATGGCAAATATACAATAATATTTTTTTGTTTATTGTAAGGTTGTTATCGGTTATGATTGAATATAATTTTATATTTGTATATTATTTTTGGTCAAAACCCTATAACTTGGTAAAAATGCTATTTCTAACTCTAAATTTTGGAACGTTGTCCCGGCAACCTACACATTATAAACAACGTGTTAATAAAATATTTGTAATTACGTGAGCACCTCGAGGTGTCCGCAATTGGCTTTCCTAATAATATATTGCTCGTATAATCACAGGCGTTTCTCACAGTGGTGATTGCACAAGTATTTTGATTCTATTTATATATTCAAGATGATCGTTGAAAATGTTTAAGTTTTGAACACTGCATACACCGAATATTATTCAATTACGAATAGAACAATGTTTGAATCATATATAAAGTTGGCACTTTTAACGGACAACGAAGTGCACGGGATCAGAGCATACGACAACTATTTACCCATACCTAAACCTTAACTTAGTATGAAAAAAAAAATGGTGAAACATATTACATAACACGAAGTATATTTCATATAAAGATAATGATCGATGTTCCAATTTCACTCGACATTAGTGGGGTCGTCAGATTTTTAAATTGATGTTTATAGGTATTAAGTTTAACTATAGGTATTACGACTTACGATATACACTTTCACTGAAAGGTTTTCTTTATTTTAAAAGAAGAGCCCGGTAAAGTATATTATCTGCTTAAATGGTATAGAAAATTACCAGCAATACCATTGGGACTAATTGACCTTTTTTTCTCAAAGTCTAGACATACCCCAGAAAACCCTATGACAGAAAAGTAAGGGTTTCTAGGAGTATTGTAGACAGTAGTGTAATTATTGTATCAGATGTAAAAGCCGGAATAATAGTTATTGTGAAGACAAGAAATGGTGCTTGGAAAATGAGTTTGAAATATTCAAAATACCTTATTATTGGAGTACGGTATTGATAGGTTTTTAGATTTTGAGAGGAGCGATGAATGTATTGATTTTAAAAAGATGTGTTATTTTATTATTTGTGTCTGTGTAGTGTGTACACGATAAGTATACGAAATAATGCTTCGATTTAAAAATCTAATAGGTACTTGAAGTTCCCAGTAGTTTTCAAAAGCACTATCAAATTTCTGATATAAATCATGATATACACCTAATGTGGGCATTAATTTGATAAAAAGTTAAAGTTAATTTTTTTTTAAATTACCCATTATCAATTTTTCAAAACGACACCGTTTTATTATGAAAAAAATTAGATTAGATATTTATTGTGTTATAATATGAGTTGGGTTTGACTTTTTTCTCGATATGACTGTTGAGTTAATTATTCCTTATTATATAAATGTGGATATTTTATAGGTAGCTATTCCTACTGGAATGGCTATTCAAATCGATCTAATTGTTGTTAAATTTGATTTTTCCAACGACGCTCTAACATTTTAAACGTGTATAACAGAATATCTTTGTTATATTCTACATAATGTCAAACTTTAAAAGATAATATAGGTCGTATATATTTAAAGTAGCGTTCACCCGTAACTTATATTATCGGTGGATTGAGATGACTTCGAAATCTCTGGTATTGAACGATTGTCGTCGATAACGACACATTACACCACTATACTTATTCCAAGGAACGAATTTCCTCACGTCAGTTTCAACATAATATACAACATATATAAATATATATTCTAGATAACCACTGAACTTAAAATTCAAAAAAAAATCATACAATATCGAATGTGGATGCAAAGAATAATAATGTGAAAATTCGTAAGGAATCAAACCAATAAAATTGTTTTGTTAATAAACAACCATTTCTTAACAACTCATATTATGCATTACAGTTAATGGTTGACAAGTGACGAAGAAACAACGTGGTTGATAATATATACATAATATAGTGCAATATCAAATAACTATGGATAAAAAGTTAATTTTTTTTACTTTTGAACTTACATGGTTAGTTAATTCTCTAATTGATTATTGATTAGTAACTTAATACAAGTATACAATAATAATATATTCTAGTATAAAATAATTAATTTGATATGAACGTTTAATGTCCATCTATACCTTGGGTGCAATGAAAATAGGAATTAAGATGGGACAAAATGTTAAATTATTATTTAAAGAATTTGTACAATCACCATGCTAGATTTAGGTGGTACTTAAGAAAAATGAACGAACTTATTTTTAGCCGAGTTTTGTTAATGCTTTTCAGTTTTCTCCATATTTATTATAAACTAAAAGTTAAATTTATTGTTTGGTATCTACTAACTTATATCTTAAGGCTCTCAATATTTACTTAACTTTACATTCACTAGTGGTTTTTTTCAATTTAACCACATTTGATATACCACTATATAGTATACAAATAGGTTTTTTGGTATATTGTATAAAAATCAAAGTTATGAGAAATCAAAATATATATTGTACCTGTACCTATATATAAAAGTCAGACATCCAGACTGACTTATCAATGGACAGCCAAAACTATGATGGACAGGCAGAAGTTTATATGGTAGGTACTATTGTGTATCAGTACCAACATGTAGTGATACACTAAGGAAGGAGTTCCCAAAATGTACATTCGAAAGAAGGCATAGGTACACAAAGATTTGTTGGGTCACGAAAAACGAATATTTTTTGTTGATATATAAGGTATCAGAAAAAAAAAATAGTTATTATAATTGGATCTAATTTTAGAGCAGTATTTTATATTTGGTCAAAACTACCTAAATTAATTTGCTTAAAATATGTGTAGTTGTTACTCACTTGGTGTTTAAGACAGAGAAAATCCACTGGCATTATATACTTTGTCACGGGCAATGCCGTTTAGGATCAGCTAGTACAGTATATAACCATAGCATAGGCCATAGAGTATTTATAGTATGTAAGCAATATTATAATATTTTTCTTACAAATTGTTTCTAACGCGTTTTTAGACATTTCATTAAATTATACTTTTCCAAAATAAATTAAATCAGTGGTTTCAGTAAAATCATGGTTTGTACTATATATAATATTAAAAAACAAATTATGGTAGGTACTCCGAATGAAAGAATTTCCATAAAACTATAGTAACTTATGATTAGATATAAATTGATCATAATATTCACAATC